CCATTGATCAGAATGCATTTAGATTTGACTGCTTTCCCAATTATGAATTGTAATTACACAGGATGTAAACACGAGCTTAAGTGGTTGTAAAACTACTCCAATGCTTGTCACACTATTAATTTAATAAACTAAATATTTAGCTGGGGTCCTCATAATTAGGCATCAGCCGACTGGAGGATTCTTGCAAACGTCGACATCCCATCCTTGGCCCCACGCTTCCCACTACCCTCCCCCAGGGGGGAGAAAAAGAGACGGGGAGTGATGACACTAATCTCTGCCTTTAGGTGTTTATCACACCACGGAAGCCAAAACAATTACTCAGGGCTTCACAGGGGTAGGCACAGACTGGTAAATTTCAAAATGCTATTTCCTTGGAGAATGTTTTTCTCGCAGTGTTTCACACCGACAGAGGGAAAACCATTCCCCCACAGGAGCGGGCCTCCTTCAGAGCGCAAATACAAACGCACAAAAATGACATTACGTTCTTGCCTGCCTGGGGCAAAGAGAATCACCTATTCTTAACAGGACTTCAGGTGTGTGATTTTCTGCCATTTTCCTTCTTTTGTTAGATTAGAATGACTGCGCCTAGTAAGAGCAGAGCTGGAATGCGGTCCTATCAGGGCAGGGCGGCGGGAACAGGCACACTGCGGCACGTTATGTCTTTAACGGAACTTGACACATTCTCGCTACGCAGGAATTTCAGAGTCGAGGCAGACAGATGTAGAAGAGGTAGTAATTATTTTTTCTCTCTTCTAGTCAGCCCCCCCCCCATACGATTCATACTTCACTAATTAAATAATAGTTTGTGATGCCTCTGAAAAGCTGGGACTATGTTAGGAAAATGGGTCTTATTTTTCCTTCCAATTCTCTGTAGTTCGCTTCTGCTAGCCTCGCTAAATCTTCAGTGTTAACATAATTAGGTCTCACGGAATAATGGCCCATTTCACCAGCTATCATTTCAGGTTAATAAAAACATCATATAATTTTAAATGTTACTACTCTATTTTAATTCACCCATCAATTAAAAACAGCTCTTGGGTGATGGGAGAAGGAAGGAGGAGGATTAGATGCTCAACTGTACAAATGTAAATACATCCCTAAAATCATTTAAGTCTTCTTGAGAGGCTTTTTCAGGACCTACTCGAAAAATGTGTTAGGAGCAGAATTTTTCTGCCATGATCGATCTCAAATAATTGCATTTTTAAATATTAATATGGGTTTTTCACAGATGTTATCTCATTTCTAACTAAATGCAATCATATAGTTTATACAAGGAATATATCTGTTTCTTAGTTATTTGATTCTTCAGATGCAAAATGAAAATAGTATGAGTCACACCTTCCCAGGTGTTGCGGAGAGTAAAAGGGCTCCAAGTTCCCAAGATACTGGTGAAAATTCAAAATGTGATAGTTGGCATTCTTAATCTTTTCTGACATCATATTATGTTTATGTGCAGTTTATGGTGGGAAATCCTTGGCATCTGTTTTAGGTAACTAAAGGGGAAAGGTACTTTTAGTGTAAGAAAGTGAAAATGTGGTTAAAAGGGAAAAACTCTTCTATATGGGACTGGTCAGAACTGTAGGAATATTTGTGCCAGATCAATATTCAGTATTTCTTAGAAAATGGATTAGAATCTAGTCCTGATTTCCTGAGGCCAAGAAGGAATTGCTCACAACCAGACATTTGGATCAAAACTCTGGGATGCTCCTTAACTTTATTTTTTATTCTTATATACCATTAAGGCTGTCCAATTGGATTAAAAAGAATCCTATTGTTTTACCTGGTTATTCATGTTGTTCTAACATATAGCTTGTTACCATCCCCATCCTTACCAAGGAAGACTGGGAATAAACATAGTGGGGAAGGAACTCCATTCAGATTTCTGAAGCTGAAGTTTTTAAACTATACCAGATCCTAAGAGAGTCCTGGGGCACCTGGGTGGCTCAGTGGGTTAAAGCCTCTGGCTTTGGCTCAGGTCATGATCCCAGGGTCCTGGGATCGAGCCCCGCATCGGGCTCTCTGCTCAGCAGGGAGCTTGTTTCCCCTCCTCTCTCTCTGCCTGCCTCTCTGTCTACTTGTGATCTCTGTCTGTCAAATAAATAAAAATAAAATCTTAAAAAAAAAAAGAGTCCCATATGTAAAAAAATATATCGAACATGTATTTCGAAGTTCCCACAGATTTCTGTGCAAGGCTGTGAGCAGAGAAACTGTTGAACAGGTATCTTATTCAATTTTCAACAACAGGTGAGGTACAACAAACCCATATCCCATAATGCACAGAGCACCCATTTCAGAGTATGGGGTCTTTACATCCTAGTAATACTGGATTATTGATGGGAGAGAGGCAGCAATGGGACAAAAGACCTTACTTCAGGGTTTCCTCACAGCTGCCCCCCAGCCCATCCCAAACTTCCTACCACCCAGGAAGGCCACAGCACAGGTCTGAGAAAGGGTGCGGCTGGTAGGGTGTGGCGGAACATTCACTAGAGGAACTCCTGAACTGTAGCCCATGCTGTCCCCCAACGTGCACCTTTCTCTTACCCAGGTGAGTGATTTGTGTCAATTTAGTGATTTGATTCAAGGGCTCCTGGTGCAGTGTTTCCTTCCAGGCAGATCCACCAGGTGGGGACCAGGACAAAAGTACCAATGAAAACACATGTTCCACATGGCTAAACAGTTAAAAGTTACACGGCAAGCTAACACAGGGTTGAATAAATTACGTTCCAATCTGCCACTTCGATGCAAAGGCTTTTGTAAGAATTGGAAACCCAGGTATCGACGTACAGTCCTTAGCCAGCTCAGAGTACCTTCCATCCTGGACCCTGGCCCTGAGGCAGCCCTAGTCTCTCCCTCCCACCCTTTAGCCCCTTTCCTTCCATCCCTGAGCTCTGGTTTGCACCACAAGGGGCTTCTTCTTGCTCATCTGAGAATTCTCCAGGGTACACCGCCAGGACTGATTCACTAATCTACCCACACAGACTCACTGTTGGCCATGCCTTGCACCCAGGAATGTGCAGTCATGATGCACGATGCTGCTTGCCTTTAGGAACTGGGGCCCCCAGAAGAGGGGCATACATGCCCTTAAAGTGGCTGGAGGTCATCTAGGTAGGAAATACTAGGTTCCCAGCTACCAAAACCAAGTGACAAGAGGGTCAGGAGGGGCACCTCTAAGCAAGGGCCCCTGTTCACCGGGGCTGAAGTGCTCCCTCTCGGCTGGTACTGGGTCAGAAACCAATCTCTCCCATATCACAGCTGGGCAGTCTAATTACTGTCTTAGAAATAGTGATACTTCATATATAGCTGAGGCTTCAGACAAAAATTTTGTTGCAGTTTTATGCTCATTCGCAGTGTTGATGGATGGAATTATATTTTTACTCTGAGGGAAAATTGACAAAGCAAGAACTGGGACCTTAAGTATGTGAACAACTTAGTCCGCACTTTTCAGCTGAGTCCTGTTCTCAAAGCCATAATACCGTAGATGGAACCCACTTTGCAAGAATGCTGGAGAGCAGCAGATGAATAAAAATCCATGGAGTTGGGGTTTCTTCAAAGGAATAAACCCTTTAGAAGAACTTGAGAATCCAGATGAAAAAGAACATTTCATTTCCATTTGTTATATACCTAAAAGTGAATTTTTATTAAAAGCAGATCACATCACTTCAGGAAATTCAGAAAACTATATCTAAATACATGGAACGCAAGACATTCCTCATCAATTTAGATTCTTATAGCCTCATAAAGATAAAATGCAGATGAATTGATTTAGATCAAGCCTTCATTAAATTTTAGAATTAGCTTTTGGAATCCCATGTATTGCAATGTGCAGAGCCTGATTCCTGAGCATTGTGACAAAGCCATGAGTGGATAAATGATAAAGTGCATCGTTGCTAGAAATAACACAGTCTGCCTTTGGTTTGTGCTAATAAACTATAAGACATCCTAAATTCCAATTTTAATATGAGAAATCCACCTCATTATAAGTAACCTCAAACTCTGTATGTTATCAGCATTTTCATGTGTTTTCTTTGGTGATTCTGAAATATAATTTGCTGTTTATGCTTCTAATGTAAATCTCCAATTTCTGGTTCGCCACCCTGGCACTAAGCCAGAGCTCTAATTTATTTCCCTCTTTCTTTATTTCTTACATCAAAAGAGACTGTTGGTTTGAATAACAAACATTCAATCGACTTAGACGTGGGGTGGCAGGCAGCACAGGCATTACCTGTTTACCTTTTATTGCCTGTTTTGAATTGGCTTTTCTGGGAACAAAACCAATAAGACATGATGTTCCTTCATCTAGTTTTTACCCAGGTTATTTATCAGAAGACACCCCCTCCCTCCCTGGCCCATGGCGGGGTGAAGAATTCAGCCTGGGAGCAGGCTTCCAACCTAACGCTATCATGGATTATTGCTCTACCAAGTCATGAAGGACTTCATCGTCCGATAGACTCTGGCTTGGGCTGATAATTGTTTTTGATTCCAGGAGCTGCTGCTGCTAACACATTTGTAAGCCGCGGGACAACAGTGTGCTGGGAACAGAACATACACTCTTTGAGCCACTTTGCGACTTTGCAAGGGTTCCCCCACACCCCCCTGCCCTCGCTGTCTGGCACATTCATTGGCCTGATAAAAGGCAGAAACAATTTATTACACCTTGGGTGGTACTTAAAACAAACTTTATTCTCAGGAACAGCAGTTATGTCTAACTTGCTGCTGTATATGTTGATATTTCCTCTAAATACTAAGTCTGAATATATTCAATCAAATAGCTAATCACTCAATTTCCCTGCCACCTTCCTGGTTCTCCAGGTTGCCTCTCATGATACTCCATGTAAACACTGCATTTGTGAAGGTACAGAGATCAGCATCCCTAGAGTCACATGATCACATCAATCTGCGAAAATAGCATGACTTAAAAATCAAAGTCTCTTAGTACTCTGCCAACAGGCTTTGGCATGATCTTGGCAATCATTTAGAATTTTTTTTTTTTTTTTTTTTTTGCTGTTATAATTTTTCCCAAGTGGAAATAGTCTCGTGTTTTGCAGAAGTTGTCCAAGCTAGTGAACATCAATCCATCTTCCTGGGTACTAAATCGTCAGCTGAATGTATTCAGTCCACATAGAAACCAGTAAAGTGAGTGTGGAACTGCTTGGTGGCTGCTCCTTTCATCTTAAGAAACTGCAATACAAATTCCTGAAATCATTTATGCAGGAATTTTTATTCTTTAAATCTTCCAGTGTTAAAGCAACAAGAAAACACTTAGAATGTCCTTTGGTGGAATCTTATTACACTTGTTATATATGTAAACTGATATTCTTTGATGCCAGCACGTTCGTTGCCCTTACAGAGAAGTCTCTGCACAATGAAACAAAACAGAACGGAAGAGGACAAAATAAAATGTCAGTCTTTGCTGCTTCGAATTAGATACATTAACAGATTGTCTGGTAACACAAATTGGCAAGAATACAAAAAATCTACATATTACAGTATTTCAAGAAAAATAACTTCATTTGAATACAAAAGGATAGATACACTTTCTTTTTTCCTAGAGCCACTCTGGGACAGTGGATGTGTGCTCGCACTGGGAATGACTTCAGTGCTGCTAAGATAGACGGGGTATGACTGGCTTGAGCTTTTGGAGGGGGGCTGTTACACGTGTGCATTACTAACATCAGACAAAGAAATCTTTCAACCAACAAGGGTTACAGAGCAACGTTCACTAAAGCACAGGTTGGAAAGGGTTCAGGGACCGAAGCAGGCCAATATGGCAGCTTGTAACAGATTTCCTTATACCCACAGTGCACTGCCAGCAAGGAACGCTTCTATTTGGTTGGTCCACACACTGGGCCAGTGGTGCCGGGGCACCCCACGGGAGAGCAGCGAATGGTTTTAGGTTGCTTGATTTGTTTGTTGTCTTTCCTGTGTGGGTGGGGGGCTGTCGCAGCCTTCCCAGTCGGCGAGAAGCTCCGCAGCGGGCCGGGTGATTTGCGGTGATAGTATCGACAGCTGGCAACTTCTCCGGAGTCAGAAATTAACAGTCTTGACTCGGGTGTGCCGTCCGCGGCTGATAGATATGGCTTAGTTCAGTTAGGCCTTCTTAGTTTGTACACGGTGTTGGAGTGGGGGTGTCTGAGTGTGTGTTTCCTATGTTGTTGGTAGCGAATGCTTGCAGGTCGCCTTGGCCTCCCCCCTGGTCCCCCTCGCCGCGGCGGGCCCTGGCCGGGCTGGTGGCCCGTGGCTCGCCTAGACCAGCAGGGGGCTGGCGGTGCCCAGCAGCGCTGTCAGCAGCAGCAGCGCGGGGGAGCCGGGCGGGGGCGCCCCGTGGCCGGAGTCCGAGCCGCAGCTGCCCGCCTCCTCGCACCGCAGCTTCTCACACAGGATGCCGGTGTAGGCGGCTGGGCAGAGGCAGCGCACGTTGTTGTGGCACGTCCCTCCGTTCTGACAGTGCAGGAGCTCATTGTCGCAGACATTCGCTGCAGAACGGGGGGGTGGGGGGGTGGGGCGCGGGGAGAAGAAGCAGAATCAATTTCAGTTCATCTAGTACAACATGTTTTCAGTTTAAAAAAAAAATATCGATCTTGTGCCCTCCCACGCCCCCGCGACAAACTAAGCATGTGACTCCCAATTTCCAAACAAATATAGTTTGCTGCCTTTGTGTGTGTGTGTGTGTGTGTGTGTGTGTTTTAAATCATATTTATCCTTTTCGTATAGATTTTTTGCTGTGATCTTGGGTACTATTGCCCATTTCAGGCTATCGAGTACAAAGTAATGGAATACTCTTGGTTTGGCAGTGTCTTCTCTTCATAGAACTGGGACCTGTTGTGACCTCCTGCGTTTTTAAAGGACAAGTGCCCGATACAAGAATGCAGAGTTTTAAAGTCAGATGAATGGTAGTTAAAATGCAAAGCACTATTGCTAAAATGACCAAGAACCTCCGAAGGGGTGGGCCATTCTCCCTGCAGGTGATTCCAGGGGCTGCATGCGGGAAGACAGAGCCAACAGGGAGTGAGGAGAGAGGGTATGGGACAGGGGCAGACAGCATGCTCCAGGCAGGCGGCAGCCAGATCAGAAGAGAGAAAGTGGTTTCATGGGAGGAGAGTGAGGACAAGCAGTCATATTTGCCCCTGACAGCCTATTAGGATATTCATTGCCTTGTAAATATGGGAAGTAGAATCCGAGGTTACCTTGATTTTCCTCAATAATAAAAAATGCAGTGATGAGACCCTGATTACCAAAATTTCACGATGTCCGTCAATTAATAGAATCGGTTTGAATAAGTCAAGCAAACAATTCCAGACACTAAAATTCATTCATGGTCCCTGCCATGTAATTTTCATCTTTAATAATTACTTATTTCAAAGTTCTGGTTATCCTCATTAATTCCATGTTTCCTATTCTTTTAGATAATCAAGGTTTCACTGATTTAGCAGAATGTTAAATAGGACCCAGGGAAATTAAAATAACAACAAAGAGTAAAAGAGCCAAGAACACTTCCCAGCAACATATGCTGCTTAAGTATTTAATATACAGAACCACTCTAGAGCAGGGTGGGGGGTAGGGGCAGAGCAGAAAAAGTAGATTTTTATAAATTACAACATTTTTCATTTTTTAAAAATGTCATGGTCAAATTTCCCCAGGGGGACCACATGAATTAAACACATACACTCACACACACACACACACACACACACACACACAGTCTCTCTCTCTCTCAATATTACTATCAAGTGCAAAGTACTAAAAAAAAAAACAACAAAAAACCAAAAAAACCCGCCCCAAGTAGTAATTCATTACAGAATGTTGCTTGTCTATTAATCATGTTCAGTAGTCATGTCACCTTCAAAATGTGCTAATGTCTTGTACACAAATGAGCTCAGGAAAGATGGTAGTGGACGCTCACAGAGTTAATACCAAAGTACCCTAAATGGGGCCTTGTTTTACCTTCTTCCTCAGTGACCTCTAAGACAGCTGCGTAATGTATTGGTACAATTTTCAAAAGTATCCACACTTGCTGTCTGCAAATGCCAGAAGTGACCATTCAGGCCTCCTAAATCCTTTAGGCTCCAAATTTTGACATTCATTATATATGTCATACAAATATGACAGACATTATATAATCTCATGATTATATAAGCTGCCTCTCATCGATGGCAGAAATCCTGAATATTAGACCCAAATTATAGTATTTTATGTGCCATGGTTAAAAATGTCAAGAGCTGTGGCAGGGATGCAAAAATTTACACGTGTAGAGTGGTTCCACTCATGGTTGAAACTGGTTGTTGTTAATTTGAGAAGCATCCATGGGTTTTCAGCATTTTGTTTTGCTTACACTTCAGGAAATACCTGTTTAATTGGGGTAACATGGAAGAAACAGATCTAAATAACTGTTTCCATTTTAAGTTAGAGATTCTCAGCATTTCTTGTCCCAGGCAGCAGATTGCTGAATGGGATATTTCCTTTCATTTGGCACCAGAGGTGGGGAAATATCTGTTCTATCAATATCGATAATTGCTTGCCTTGAATAATTGAGAAGAAATCAATAGTTAATTAAATATTGCTCTCCTTAAAAAAAAAAAAAAAAAAAAAAAGAAGCTATTTTTCTTCTTGGACCTGAATGTAAATCAGCTGTTGGACAGAGGTTTCTTTCTTCTTTCTTTCCCCCCCTTTTTTTTTCTTTCCAAGAAGCTGGTGATTAAGTTAAAATCCAATACCTTTCCTACATTTAAAGTAATCTGTTAGTTGATGCTGGTGAGTGTGAGAAATTCAGTAACTATGCAAGGACCAGATGTAACCCAGGATTCATAATATCATGGATTGGGGAAGTAAATTTTTTTCTGTAAGAGATAAACAGAAGAAATCAAATCTAGAATATATTTCATTACTTTAGAATTCCCTATAAGACTTTTTACATTGAGTCTCCTGATTGTGCTATTCAACAAACACAGAATATCACAGATATGTACAGCATTCTGTTGGAATCATGTGCTAGACGCATATCTGAACCTAACTACAAATCTTACCTGCTATTCGTGAATTTATCCTCCGTCTTCATGTTTTTTTGTACCAAATTTGTGGTGCTTAATGAATAAACTAGTTGGCTAACAAATATCACTGACCTCTTCTTCAGCATAGGAAGCCTTGTACTAAACACCATGAACAGATTTAAAAAAAAGGATAGAGCGTGATCCCTGCTCCTATGGAGTTCAAGTCTGGTTGGGAAGATAAAATATAGGCAGGACATGATCTAATAATAATTTCATTAGCATGCCTTTATCAATTCCATCCACTTCAGCCAACATCTGTTGTGTGCCAGGCAACCCCACTCGATTGTATGGTTGTAACTCTACCTGCCTTAAAGGAGCCCACAGTTTGGCAGAAAACAAATAAAACGAACATGCAGAAATAACTATGACACAAAAAAAAGACTGTAAAGGAAACATTTGCAAAATGCCAGGGGAACTGAGATGCTGGCGTAAATAATTATTTGGGGGAAGATTAGAAAAGATTCTAGAAAGGAGACTGTATTTGAACAATAGTGCACTCCAGGCGGGTATTGGTAGAAGGAGCATTATGGATGGGGAAACTGTATGAGTACAGACAGGGAGACTTGCAAGTGCCGAGTGCTGGTTATTAAGCAATTGTCTCTCAACTCTAAAAGCACCCTCTTTCTGCACTTTGTCTTCGGCTTCCACTGACAGGGAGCACTAGAGGCACCAGAGAAGGTGAAGGGATTTCCTTTCTCCCATTTGATGGCTCTTCCTCAGTGTTGCCCCATGATGGCCCTTCACCCCAGGAGGAGCATTTGATCCTGGTGCATAGCTTTATTCAGAACCAGCTTTATTCTCCCCCTTAGAAGGTTCCTGCACCAACCCAGCAGTGTTCCTTCCCTACAGGTTTGAGCTTAGCTCTAAGGGCCCCTGCCCGGGTTTCAGAGGTACAAGTCAGCAGCCCGCATTATGTCCCCCCATGTCTGTGGGGTCTCCCCTCTGTCCTTTTAGTTTCTAATAATCCATCCTCTTTCCTGTGATCCCTCTGCCCAGGAGTTATACACTTATACACAGTTACTACTATCTCTGAGGGACTTCAGTGTCCTCTTCTCATTTCTAAATTCCAAAACACCTGTTTAACTGTTTCCTTTAATGAATTCTCTCTATTGAAATGCCTAGTGCCGTTTCAGTTTTCTGACAGGAGCCTGAATGAGAGACTCATGGAACACATTAGAGAATGGCAAATGGACTGGTGTGGCTGGAATGTGGGATATGCCCAGGGCAAATGGAGACTAGAAAGGTAGGCTGTAGCCTGATAGTGTACATTCTACATAATATGCAACATAGAGTTTCAATAATAGGCAGTGGGAAGCTGTCAAAAACCTACGAGCAAGGTGGTATTTTAAACAGAAGAGAAACAGGTGAGGCTTGGCCAGAGAAAGGTCAGACTGGAGAAGAGGGGACCAGATGCTTTAGTAGAATGGGCTTGGTCTGATAATAGCAATGGGGAGGGAGAGGGGATAGATTTGGATGCAGATGATTTGAAATGGGTAAGAGAGATTCTGAGGTTTCTGTTTTCAGTATTCAGATGCATCATAATAAAATTTATTAAGAAAAGTAGATTAGAGGAGGGCTTTGGGCAGGGGAGAAAATGCACTTTTTTTGGATGTATTGACTTTGAGGGGTCTGAAGGCTCTTCCTCAGGGGTATTGTTCTTAGTTGGAAAAACTAATTAACCATTCAGGAGGTAGGTCATCCTGGAGATACAGGTTTGGAGCAGGAGTGATGGTGGTCATTGTTACAAAGAGTGAAGTGAAGGGAATAGAAGACCTAATCTTGGTAGAATATTGAGTAAGGACAAATGAATGCTCTAGATAGAACACGGAATAATATCAGCATTTAGGCCACAGGAAGAGAATGAAAGATCATGAAGGGTCCTGAGAAGAAAAGACGTCAACAAAATACAGTGATCATTTGAGGGCATACAATTAATCCTAGAAGTCTTCCTGCTGTGCGTGACTCTATCTAGGCATAAACAAATAGACTGGAAGAGTGTGAGAGGAAGGGCACTTTGAATTGGGAGAAGGAAATTGCAAAATAAGCATTACATGCTCTTGATTGAATCTGACAGAAGGGATTTTGGAATAATTTAAAAAAGGATTGGAGAAATTTAAGGAATTAACATTTAATAGAGGTCTTTGGTTGTCAGTCTAAATTGGTGTTTTTCAACAGTGGATGATTTTATCTCCCAGGGGGACATTTGACAATGTCTGCAGACTTTTGGTTGTCACATCTCAAGGGAGGGCTACTGGCCTCTAGTGGACAGAAGCCAGAGATGCTGCTAAATATCCCACAATGTACAGGGCAGCACCCCCCCAACCCTCACCCCACGTCGCCCCCCAAAAAGAATCCCTCTTCAATTAAGGTCGATGGTAAAATGATGAAGTTCTGGATCAGGGTGTCAGCCATAGCAATGAAGAGGAGCG